GGAGAAAATTGACTTTGAGCTCCAAGTCAATTCCGAAACTTTTGCATTCTTATTGATGGACAGAGCAACAAGCGATCATTGATAAACCATTAACGCAAACAGAAATTTCATTCTATTCAAAAATCAGTGAACCTCCAGATTCAACTCAGCAATCTCGATAAAGCACAAATAAAACTTAACACAGAAGGATCAGGATCCAATTCCATAAACAAATCCTCAAAAAGAGAGCGTCAAATCAAAAGTGAAGCCAAATCAAAACATAGAAACCCTAGAGACGCTCAAAAAGGCCGATCAGTCAACGAACGATCAAATCTAACACCGCACTCAACGGACTCGAAGCTACCGCACTCAAAAAGTGATCAAAACCCCATCCAAACCAAAACAAACTGATCAAAACCAAATCAAGAGCTTGATCCCAACCCACTGGTCCCAATCCAACGCGATCAAGCTCAGTAAAAGGGATCGGAGTAACGAGCAACAGACGGTAGACTTAAGAATCGAGATCGTACCTCGGATTTAGGGGGGGGAGAGGCCGAGGCGGCGCAGGATAGCAAACGTGCGCCGGGGCGGAGGAAGTGGCGGGATCGCAAGGGGGCGGAGAGGTTTTTTAAAAAAAGAAAATGGTTTTTCGAATTTCGTGTCGGTAATTTTTCCGCAGTTTTTAGCGGTCTATAAAAGGGAATCCGAATGGAGCGAGGAAAGAAGGAGAGAGGACGGGATCGGTAGCGGTTTCGGCCGCGTGTCGGGCGGGATCGGAGAAAGGTTGGTGTCGTTTCGGGTGGATGCCGCGTCGAGAGGGAGGGAGGGAGGGAGGTTATCCGGGATAAGAGGGGAAAAGGGAGAGATTAGAAACAAAGAGAGGCCGAGAGGGCGAGTATATTTTCTCTGTATCAAGGTTACGTGCTTTAACTTCTCTCTCTCAAAATTTTCTTTTTCTTTTTCTCTTTTAAATTTAATAATAAAGGGAAAGTAAATAATTTTTAGGGCACCCTAATTCCTTTTTGTTTAGGATAGGATATATAGGACAGATACAATGAACGCTCTATCCGGCTGGGCACGTTCGTGGAGCTGGCAAGAATTGATGCGTGACGAAAGAATCGGGTGTGTACAATTCATTGCATTAATGTTGCATCAACCAATCGTTTTATAGTTGGATCATCGTAGTAGTCTTATAGTCTGCAAGTAGGCATGGCGTTAGAGTGGCGTTATAATCACTTTTGCTCTGACCGTAATTAACCTAAGTGTTAATCTTCCTCCTCGAGCCAACATGTGTGCCCTATCAGCATTGATCAATCATGCTACCTCACCCCAGCCAGGGGCGACCCAGGTTACCTGAGCACTCGACCCTTCCCGAGTCAGGCCGAGTCGAGACCAGCTCTCGACCGACCTCATCAGACGAGTCGTCCACCCTAATCCACTCATAGCTGGGTCGACAACTTACGATGCCGACTAGAAAGGCAGTACTTGCCGTCCCTCTCGCTGAGCCGAGTCAAGAGGCGGTTCAACCTCGAACTCCAGGCCAACGGTTGTCTATTCTCATCATTACGGGTGCCATGAGATTTCGTGACTCATCAGCCCCCACATACCTCCTCAATCACTATTACATCCAATCAAAGATGACTCATCGCATATGCAGTCGACTCCTATAAAGGTATCTGCCAATCTCGCATGTCTGTCTGGACTCAGCCATAGTTACACTTCTCCCCCTTAGGGAGGTATAAATATGGGTTAATCGCTTGTTGACCAGGAGGGCAGATCCTCATGTCCCTTTCAGGGCCACATGTATGTAATTTCTGTACTCTTTAACTAAAAACATACTCAGTTCATTGGTTTCTTCTTCACTCAAGCTCAAATACTGACTTGACCGTCAAATGAATCACCGGAGAACCCAACTCCAGTCCTCTAATATGCATATTTTGTAGCTTACTCATTTTAAACAAGGGATCTGCCGCCTAAAGGGATGAGGGAACTCACATCGTACTTATTCAACTCCAGCCTCGTCGCTAAGTTGAGATTATCTGCTAATCTCACTGCTTAGTATCAGGACATTAACACTAGCACCTACTGTGGGGTTCATCTCCCTTTGATGAACCATCCCCTATGTTCGAGCATCAGAAGAAGTTTCCATCTCCATCTAAGCTCTACGGTAGCTAAGAGATTTCATTGTAAGGCTACGAAGGTGAGTTGGTCATAATGCAGCTTTGAAGAAAAGTAACAAATTAAAGATATTATCTTCAAAATATATTTCTTGCTATATATCTATACACAGCTTTCATCAATCAGTCATCATCAACACCAAAAACCATAGTATCTTTTCAGGGTAAAATTAAGGCACGCCATCAACAAAAAAGACTTTGGTACCTATTCAGAGTATAACTAACGCACGCCATCAATTCAACCAACTCTGACACCAAAAATCTTAGTACCTATTTAGGGTAAAACCAAGGCACATCACCGACAAATGACCTTGGCATATCCTTAAGCCCAAGGCATGTACTTCAAGACCATGTTGTCATCGCGAGGAAACCCAAAGCACTAAGTTGAGTCATCCTAATTATTACACTCGGAGCCAAGCACCTCGACCTAACGAACTTGTACTCAAACAAAGCGGATTGCAAATTCTTAACATACAACAAGAATGTAATCTCACTGGTACACGGTTCAAATTAACAAAAATACTTTTTTATTCATATATTGTGAAGTATTTACAGTACAAAAGAGTGCTATAAAAAAACAAACAACAATAACAAAGCAAAAGGAAGAGAGATGCAATGGGGCCCCTAAGGGGTCGGACTCGGGAGATGAGGGGGACTAAGAGGTGCAAACGGATAGATCCCAGAGCCAGGACCAGGAGTCGAACTTGGAGAAGCGGCTATAGTGGATGGCAAGGGAGTCGACTGAACCTCAGTCTCAGCCCCTTTGCCTTTCTTTGTTCCAGGCTCACTCACTCATCTATCGTGAGCCGAGCCCTCGCCTGCCTCATCGGCCGACTCTTCGCCATGCTTGTCATCATCTCCATCATTGAGTGTAAGTCTGCCTCCCTCTTTCTCTATATATAGGAGTGCATCGAGATAGTTGGCCACTCAAGGAGGATAGTGGAAGCAATCAAGATCATTCTTGATCTCAGCTGGAAGCTACGCCTGATTATAGTCGTACCTAGCCTTACAAGCCAACGCCACCTCCACCTTTCCAAGAGCGATGTGGCGATAGCCTTAGACGACCTCAAAGTGGTGGGCCTCATACTCCAGATGAGTGTGGCGGTCTTGCAGAGCATGGATCTTGACGAGGGACGACTCACGTTGTTGCTCATCCTTTAGAGCAGCCTGGATGCTCTCATCCTAAGGTTCTTGAGAGCTAGTTGCTCCTCTTTCAGCTCGGCCAGCAAGCTCTAGGCGGCTAGACGATCCAATCAAGCTCGCTCTTGGGTGCCATTCCTCTCCCGCTTCTTAGACACGACCTCCTCGAATAGATATTTTATTCTATCATTCCATTCGAGGAGCTCATGCTCGAGATGGCCAAGGTCTTCCTTGAGCTTGTTGATCTTGGCTGACTTCTTGCTAATAGAAGTCTTTAGGCCATCGACCATCTTCTCCCGCATCTCTACCTCCCGGTGCCATTTGTCATCACTCCAGCTCTAAATGGCCAGCTCATCCTCCTTGGCAGCTAACGATAAGAGGACTTCTCTAGATCAGCCTTTTGGGCCTCCAACTCCCCTTGGAGCTTGAGGTAGGAGGTTCGAACTTGTTCGTAACGACCAAACAACTCTTGGGGCATTGATAAAGGTTGACATTCGACATCTCCCTGTGGATCTTGTCATCACGTGGGAGATAGAATTGCTCGACCGCTTGCGTTTGGGTGAGTCGAGGGTGAGACTCGAGGACCGACCCTCTCTTATCAAGATACCACCTAGGTTCATATTTGAACTCCTCAGGCGGCTCTCTATTGTAGCAGGGTCTGGCTTAGGAAGATCCCATTAGCAACATCCTCAGTTGATCCTATTTCTTTGCCTCAATCTCATTAATTGGCAAGGAGACGACCACCCAAACCCTTAGGTAGGAGGCACCCCCTCAACAGTTGGCTCCTTCCCCTATCGATAGGCCAACTCGGCAGCAGGCCTCGTCAAGGGCCACCTTACCCTTGTCTTGGGGCTCGGCCTCTTCGGCCTCGTCCATATGGATCTTGGCCCCTCTTCTCTGGCAGGGGACCTATCATCAATAATGATGACTTCAGCTTCTTGAGCCAGAACAGGAATGGCAGTAGCAGTAGTCGCCTCCTCCATTGTCTAAGGTGGAACCTCTGTCGGTGGCTAGCCCGAGGCATCCGCCTAGACAACAAAGGACACTCTCATCTCCATCACTATCTCAGCCATCTTCTTAGGGACTCGATTGCCCACCTTTCTCAGCTTCTTCTTCTTCTCGACACTCTAGGCCTAGGCAGTAGTAGCCCTCGACCCCGCCAATCAAGCGACTATCTCAGCCACATGAGCCTGGACCTCCTCAACTTCATTAGGAGCCCGATCCGGGAGGAGGTGCTTCTTTGGCCTCATTAAGGGCCCTCCCTGAGCTCGAGCAGGTGGAGCCGTCGGCACTGCATCAGTCTCACTAGAGCCCAACGTCAGTGCAGCCGCCTGAGCTTCATCCTCTGTAGTAGGAGGCACTGAAGAGACACCGACAACTCGTAAGACCGAGTTATCAAAAGATCCCCCATTTGACGAGAGCCGGTGTACCCCTTGATCGATTCCCGCGCACGCCTCTTAGTGCTCATCAGTGGCCCTGGCTTTAGAGCTCCCTTCTTGATCTCTGGCCAATTAGAGCAAGCCATATTGGAGTTGTTCCTAGCCGCATAGATGAATTTCTCCTTCTAGTTCTTGTTGGACTCGGGAGTGTTGACGACTATTTTATTGTCCCCCAAGACTTAGAGGTAGAAATGCACCTCATGCTAGTTCACCTTCACGCAGACAAGGTGCGCGAGTATTTCCAGGGTCGCTTCGACTCCTAGCTAATGGCAGATGACCACGAACCCCACCAGAGTAGCAATGAAATTCGGCTTCATCTATGATGGTGACACCCCCAGTGCCTCGAAGACGCCTCAGAGGAAGGGATGCAGTGGCAAGCATAGTCCATACTCCTGCTTCAATTACATGGGAGCTCAACTAATGTCGTGATGGAAGGTCACCTGTGACTTCACCAGCACCGTCAAAGCAAACATCTTAGGGATGTAGAATTTTTCATATAGCAATCGAAGGTCACTTGCGACTTTGGAATGAAACTTCTACAACAGGTTAAGTCGGACTTCATTCCTAACTATTGAAGATGACATCGGACTAGTTCTGGATATTGCCGGAGAAGGAGATGTGAAGTTCGGAGTTTTGTTGTAGATTAAGAACTCGATAATTTAGTAAACAGCAGAAATCCTTCACAATCGGAGCAATGTACTTATAGGTAGAAGGACCGACAGGTAGCAAGATTGCAACTATCGACTTGGTTCTGAACCAACAACCAAAATCATTCCCAGAATATGAGGCGACAGTTCTAGAACCAAAGTGTCCCTCATTGTGATTGGCCAACACTCTTCGCCTAAGAATTGAGGCGGCGGCGGCCCAGAATTATCCTCTGACGTCAGCAACATCACATTCGAAAAGACCCTTCAGCACCCCTCATAAATGTGCCTTGGGACCCGCCAACTATATTCCTTTTTCACTCTACTCAAGTCCAAGCGAAAGGGGCTAATGTTACTATCATAATTAATCTAAGTGTTAGTCTTCCTCCTGGAGCCGACATATGTCCCATATCAGCATTGATCAATCATGCTAGCTCACCCTAGCAAGGGGCGACTCGGGCCACCTGAGCACTCAACTCTTCCCGAGTCAGTCCGAGTTGAGACCAGATTTCTTGTTACCTTCACGAACATCTGGAAGTTGGCATTGTGGAACGAGCATGGTTGTGGGTGCGAACGCAGAAGCTGGGCGTGAGTCTAGCTCATTGTCGGGAAAGCAAATTCCTCTCGCCTGACCTCGTCAGACGAGTCAACCACCCTCATCCACGCAAAGCTTGGTTGACAACTTACGATGCCAACTAAAAAAATGGTACTTATTGTCCCTCGCTCAGAGCCAAGTCAAGAGGCGGTTCGACCTAACTCCACACCAACAGCTATTTATTCTCAGCATTGTGGGTGCCACGAGCCTCCATGACTCGTTACCTCTCATACCTCCTCAATCATCATCACATCCAATCAAAGATGACTCACCGCATATGCAGTCAACCCCTGTAAAGCTATCTGCAATCCAGCTGTCTGCTTAGACATGACAATAGTTACACTTCTACCCCTCTCAGCCGAGTATAAATATGGATTCATTGCCTGCTAATGAGGAGGGCGGATCCTTAGGCCCTTTCAGGGCCACAAGTATGCAATTTCTGCACACTTAAACTAAGACTGTATTCAGTTTATTGGTTTCTTCTTTACTCAAGCTCAAATACTAACTTGACTATTAGATGAATTACCGGAGAACCCAACTCCAGTTTTCTAATATGCATATTGTGTAGCTTACTCGTTTTAAGCAGGGGATCTGCTGCCTAAAGGATGAGGGAACCCACATCATACTTACTCACCCCCAGCCTCATCACTGAGTTGGGATTATCTGCTAATCTCACTACTAAGTCACATGACATCAAAAACTTTGTATTTTTTAAGGCTGAAAGATGAATAGTTGGAGTACTCAATGTTAACACAAGGGTCAAATTTAGAATCTTATTTTATTATAGAAAATATTGCAATAAAATCCAACATCAACGTTTACAAATGCAACTCAGTATCAGGCTGAAGGAAGACAACAATCTCCTACTCGCATGACTCTTAAATTATGTCAGGTTACCAGCCTCTTCCGACCAACCCCCTTCTGATTGAATCCTTCATCATTGCCAATGTTCACTTGATCGTCACGAACTTCTACGCCGTCGTCCGCTTTGGTGATCATACTCAATGTCACCACTCGGGACTCATTTCGCTTCAGCTACCACGGCCTCGTGCACCTTCTCGATCTCGGGCAACACCAAATTTACCCATGCGTTCGAAGGATTTAAAGCCTATACAGTTTCTTGTTGGTAGGGGAAGCGAGACAAATTGCAGATGAATATGCTATTTTGGTGAGGTTACCTCACCCAAAAAGATAAAAGTGAGATTTGTCAAATCCTCTTCAATTAAGAGGATTTGGCAAATTCTAAAAATTGGGCATTTTTTATACTTTTGGGATTCAATATTCTAAACATTTTCTTAAAACAAACACCATATATGGAATCTCAAAATACAAAAAACCTCACTTTTTAATCGCAAAACTTGTAATCCATACCGAATGCCAATTTTTTGGTGAAACAAACACTCCCTAAACGTTTTTAGCAGTAAAGCTCTTGAATGATCAACAAACTTGTACGGATAGCCTACTAATTTTAAGAAATAAGTTTTTTCTTTCGTAAAAAATTGGAAAACCAACTGGAAAAATGTTTTACATAAATGGACAGAAATCGATCTATTTTACACAGGATTTGTCCTTTCCGTTTTCCACGCCTATTCGACATGAAGCGTTCACTGAATTTTTTTTTAAAAATAAACCCATTTATATTTTTAATTGCCAAAATAGACCCACTTCAGTTTTATTTATCAAAACCGACCCATTTTGTGGCCACGTCAGCAGCGTGGCCACGAAATGGGTCGGTTTTTTTTAATGTCGCCTCTAAATAATCGGGATTGACAACCCCGACTATTTAGCTATGTACAAGCTAAATTAGTCGGGGTTGGCAACCCCGACTAATTTAGGGTCATATCTAGTTGGCCGGGGTTGGCAACCCCGACCATTTAGTAGAGGAAAATTTTCCTACGATAAAAATGGTCGGGGTTGGCAACCCCTACCATTTTTTATCCAAGAAGGTTTTTTGAAAACAATCCAAGAAGGTTTTGCTGTTATCCAAGTTTCCTTTTCTATTTAGCATTGCATTTTGATTCTATACAGACTACACTAACATAATCTGAATATTTTCTCTTTTCTTGCTTGCTTCAAATTTCAGTGAGTTCCTGAATGAGGCATTATGCACCAAATGTACCTATCGTGCTCATAGGAACTAAGCTCGGTAAGTACATTACAAATAAAACTAAACAATGTTACATTTAACCTTTGCTAGTAGACATTTAATTTGCTCGGTATGTTGTACATTTTGATTTTATTTTGGCATATACAAAACTGGTTAAAATGTTGGTGCAGATTTACGCGATGATAAGCAGTTCTTCATTGACCATCCTGACGCTGCACCAATAACAACATCACATGCAAGTTATTTCCTAGACAAAAAATCCGGGTAGTTACTTAAAAGTTTTCCTCTACTAAATGGTAGGGGTTGCCAACCCCGACCATTTTTATCGTAGGAAAATTTTCCTCTACTAAATGGTCAGGGTTGCCAACCCCGACCAATTAGATATGGCCCTAAATTAGTCGGGATTGCCAACCCCGACTAATTTAGCTTGTACATAGCTAAATAGTCGGGGTTGTCAACCCCGATTATTTAGAGGAGACATTAAAAAAAACCG